CCTTGTCTCCTCTAAATGAGCTGCTAATCCCTGTCGTGACTACTGTAAACTGCTCTCCTCCCGGTTGCCCTCGCCTGGACAGAGGGGGCAGTGCTCAAAACACAAGCACTGGCTCCATCAAGCAGCCTTCACCACAAAAATGCCATGGTGCAGTGATATAGATACTAGAGAACTGATACTATACTCATGTGCCATGGTACTAGAAAATCTGAAAAGATCCCTTATTAAAAAGATTAATGCTTATCTTATAGCATTAGGGCAGGTACATCCAGCACTTACTTTTACTTTCTCTCTATAAATATATTCGCAGAGTCTGACGCTAAAGTTCTGTGCTCCAGGCAAACTGACGGGAACTGATGCTTGTGACAATAAACCACAGGCTTTAAACACACTGTGGGACATCTGAGCAACCCAGCCCTGCTCTCCCCACTAACAATTCATCTCCACCAGTTTTTAATAGAACATTACTTGTGGTGCACTGCTGTTTGCTATGTAATAGATTTACAAAAAGCCCACGTCACCACAGAATTACAGTGTGAAATGATGAGAAATGCTAAGCGTTCACCACCACACAGGCCATTAGCCTCTTCACAATGTGACAGGTTCTCCTACAGCGGTCACATTAACACGGACCCTAACGTCCTGCTGAAATGATTGAGGTTTAACAACAGCAGACTCCTGTTCTTTTGATTAAAAAGCTTTTAGTGTTGAATAAAGGGTTGAGGATAAACTACAAACTACTTTTTCACATGTGCTGTGCAGATTTTGAGTGGAAATCTCTAGAAATGTCTTAAAATTACATTTAAAGAATGGTAAAATTAACCGAATATTTAGACAAACACTATGAATGACAATTCAGTTATTCCAATTTTGCAGATATCCATACCCGCTTATCAGTATAAATATTTACAATAATTTATATAGATTAGTTAAAAAAAATAATTAACCCACACATATTCAAACAATTGTAATTTAGGTCATAAACATATTCCTATAGCTTTCAAATCAGCAATAATTATTATTACTAATAATTGTTATTTTCATAATATTCAATGTCTGATCATTTTTAAGAGGGTTTATATATATA